GCCCAGCCGCTCCGCGGCACGTGGGATCCTCCCGGACCGGGGCACGAACCCGCGTCCCCTGCATCGGCAGGCGGACTCTCCAGCACTGCGCCACCAGGGGAGCCCCCATGTATGATTTCAATCAATTTCTATGACTCATACCCATCTGATGCCCTAAAAAAAAAAAAAAAACCCACGCAAGACAGTTTTCTCCAATTTTCAATTAAAAATTACTCAATAATAACTAAAAATATACACACAAATGTATTTTAAGAAAAACTGACACTGTAGAAATTCTATTATGTTAGAAAAAAGACATGAAATTCAAATTTTAAACTGTCAAACCAAGCCACCTAACCCACCCCTATACACTGAGTGGACACTTTAATAGGTAGTTGCTCACTGAAATTAAGCTGAACAGGAGAAAAGTTGTGCTAGCTTCCTAGTTATAACGTTTTTCAAAAGAAAACGAAGCAATTTTGGTAGTCACATAAAGACACAAGCTCTATGGATAAATAACTGTCAGGAGACTTTGTTTACAACATCAAATTTATTTCCCTGGCCCTGTGCAACTGTATGGAATTAGGCAGATGCTCAAATCCATCCCTGCAGAACACTGTCAGACAAAACAAAATACAAAGTCATTCAACAGTGATAGTTAAAGAATATAAAATCAAATGATAAACTCAAAAGAAACTGAACGGGGCAAATTCAAGTAATTCTTAGAGATTAATCTCTAGATTATGATTTGAGTATGGATAGCTTTAAAAATATTTTGATATGGGGCTTAGGGATCACTTAGTTCCACCGTGATTTCCATGCAGCTTTTTTCTAAGGATTGCCATTAACCATTTTAATTTCCATAGTCTGTGTTTTACAAGTCTTTGTCTACCCAAATATGCTTGTAAATTATTTAATGTTCCCATTTCAATTAAAAGTTAGTAATTCTGCTACTCAGGACTCCTGATAAGCATGAGATAATCAATAGTACCTATCTAATAAACTGACCTAATTCCTAAACCAATGAAGAAACTTTAGCATTCTATGTAATGTCATCAATGGTAAATGAGATTGACTTTAAAACCTTGAAAATAGCTTAAGGATCCCATTTGCTCGCTTAAATTATCTTTATTAACCTCTTTTAACTTAAAAATGATGAAAACAAAGTGACTTGCCCTAAAATCACATGGCTGTATAAGTGGCAGAGCTGGATTATTCCCAACCCCGTTCAGTATGTTTTTCACCATATCACACTGCTTCTTCTAAGAGAAAACAATACAAAAAATTATGTACCTGGGGAAAAGGTCATGATTTTTTTAAAACTTCACTGACAGAGAAAAATACCTTTTGCAGATCAAATACACCAAGTCTACTTTTATAGATACATACTAACTTACCTTCCAGGAGGCCCATAGTCACCCCTATCATATGGTGGAGGCCGGCCATATGGATCCGTTGGTGGTGGACCCCGGCTATCTGATGTAGGCATGCCGCTGTTAGTTGGTGGAGGAAAGAAAGCGGGGTTCACATGTGGAGCTGGTGGTGGGGCACCTGGAGGTGGTCCAGGAAGATGCGGAGGAGGAGCGAGTGTAAGGGGTGGCCCAAGAGGGCCAGGTGGGCGAGGTGGAAAGGGGCCTGGAGGTGGAGGTGGTCCCTGTTGCGGAGGTGGTGGACCAGGAGGGGGGCCGTAGCCTGGAACTGGAGGTGGAGGACCAGGAGGAAGCGGACCCAATGGAGGCTGCCCAAAAGGTTGTCCAGGAAAAAGAACTGGTGGTGGAGGGCGATCTCCTCGATTAGGAGGCCCAGCTAAAGGAGGAGGCAGAACCTGACCAGGAGGTGGAGGACCTGGTGGACCGGGTGGGCCTGGAGGACCTAAGGGTGGACGTGGTGGAGTCTGTCCAGCTATAGAATAAAGGGGAGAGAGAGAGAGAGAGAGAGAGAGAGAGAAAGAAAAAAAAAAAAAACACTTCAATAAGGCAGTTTATCTTCACGCCAAAATTATACTTTTAAAGCGTAACTCATAAACCAAGACTCTCTTTAAATGCAACCCATATGGTAAATGCTACACTAACAATTACAAAGGTGAAGTTTATCCTTACACATTTAACTAGCTCAATTTATGCTTAAGAAAAACTACTGAAACAAAAACTTTAATAGATTACATTGCTTAGAGATAGTTTCCATCTTTCAGCGTACACACACTTCTTACAGTGAAATCACCCACCTTATAGTCTACTCTGATGCCAAGCTAGAAAGTGAAACAAGGAAAAATGGTCTTGAAAGGATTTTTTAAGAGGTAAGAAAATAAGACGGATGTAAATATTCTATATATAAGTCAAGCAAGTTTGGAGAAAAATAAAGACCTTTTAGGCCAAAAATGGGTATTTCCTCTATGCTGTGCCCCATATGCCATGGAATCCTAGTTTCCAGGAACAAAGGCCGAGTTCCTTTAACAAGATGCTTGATCAAATTTCCTGGATTCCAAAAATAGCATAACAAGGAGAGTAAGTCACATTAATAATGCATTACTTGAAAAAGAGAGAAAAGGAAAAGAGGTATTAGGTAGACACATTTTATCCATGGTAATTTGAGAAAAATTTTACCTGGAAAAGGTGGAGGTGGCCCTCCTGGTCCTGCTGGCCCAGGAAATCTGTCCCCACCAGGAACAGCCCCTGGAAAACGGGCCCGTCCTCTACCACCTTGTGGAAAGGCTGCACGTGAACTGCCTCCCGGAGGACCAGCTTTACCTTCCCCAGACATTTGTCCTGACTGCGTAGCTGCAAATATCCAAATACTCATAAATAGCATTTATTAAAATAGCTGATACATAACCACTGTTAGATATCAGAAACAACTCTATTTCAAAGTTCATTTACACTATATACTAACTTGCAGATGCCTTGGGCCTGTCCAAACTACATGAGAAGTACTGGTTTAGGAAAACATTCATATCTATTTAAGTTCTTTGAAGCCTCAAAAGATCCAGGCTTAAATGTATTTCCAATAAGCAAACATGAGTTACTTTCAAAAAACCAGTACTCTGCAGCCGCCAAGACCAAAATTCTCCAACAGAAATCTAAATGTCAGTTAAGTATAAATCATTTAAATTTTGTAACATTCGTCAGTTGAGTGTTAAGTGCTAGAACATTAAAACAACCGCTTGAATTTCTGTTAATTGCCTGATCATCCATTTATCTCTTTAAGTGATAACATTTGTAAGTGTATAATGGCAAATCTTCTCTATAGCCACTTTACCAAGTGGTGAAAGGTCTTGGTGCTAAGCGGAAAATCAACAAATACTTTCTGATTATCAATGGTTCCTCCCCCACCATAACAGACACCCACATAACTTTCCTTCAATCTAAGGATTAGAATGTAGTTTCTTCCTTTTTTTACGATGAGAATGACAGGGCTATAGAACTTGCACACTGTTGTATAATGCTGGGTCTGTGACATCTAGAGAAAAACGGGAGTAGGTTCCCAGTACACCGGACCAGTCATAATCAGTAATTTAAATCAAATTCAAGGCATGGACTTTCTAAAATGGATTCTCCAATGAACTAAATACTAAATATAAATATTAAGATGACTTCTCCAATATAACATCTAACAAATGCTAGCAAGATTAGTTAAAATGTACAACTTTTAATAAAAGCCTTTGAGGGGTTGCTTACTTTTCCTGGACTGCATTTCAAATTGACTCAGGAACTGTTTATTGCATGGAGTTACAACAGGATTCTGACCATGAAGTTCTCTTTTAGGCAACAGATCCATTAGCTTTTTTGAGGATGCTTCAGATCCAACACCAACAAGGGCAAACCTAAAAGATGTTTAAAGGGGTGTGGGTAGAAAGTGAGGAGGGATTAACTGTTATTACTCTTATTAAAAAGGAAATGGTCTGAATTTAATTTTACCTAAGAAAACGGAAAATATTTAGAAATATACAAAGCTCACACTTTGATCTTTAACTTTCTTTTTTATAACAACACATCATACTACCTACTCAAAGTGTATAGAATTCAGTGGTTTATTTTTTTTAGCATATTCAGAATTTTACAAACATCACCATAATCAATTTTAAGAACAATTTTCATCACTCAAAAAACTCCCCATAACTGTTAGCTGTCACTCCATTTCTTCCCATCCTCCAACCCTAATGAATCACTAATCCACATTCTGTCCCTACAGATTTGCCTATCCTGGACACTTCATATAAATGGAATTATACAGTATGTGGTCTTTTGTGATTGGCTTTTTCCACTTAGCGTAATGTTTTCAAGGTTTATGCATGTTGTAGCATGTGTCAGTGCTTAATTCCTTTTCATGGCTGAATAATATTTCATTATATGGATATACATTTTCCAAAAATCAACAGACATTTAGGCTGTTTCCACTTTTTTCATTATTATGAATAATGTCACCATGAAAAGATGCTCAATATCATTAGCCAACAGGGAAATGTAAATTAAAACCACAATGATACCATTTCACATTCACTAACCAAAAAGACAATTAACAAGTGCTGGTGAGGATATGGAGAAAACTAGAACCCACATACACTGTTTGATGGAAAATGTAAAGTGGTGCAGCCACTTTGACAAACATCCCGGCAGCTCCTTAAAAGGTTAAATACAGAGTTAAAAATACAATCCAATAAATCTTCTCTCCTGGGAGTTCCCTGGTGGTCTGTCTAGTGGTTAGGACTTGGCACTTTCATTGCCGTGGCCCAGGTTCAATTGCTGGTTGGAGAACTGAGATCCTGCAAGCCTCATGGCAGAAAAATATATCTCCTGGTGTATACGTGTACCTAACAGAATTGCAAATATATGTTCACACAAATTGCTACATGAATATTCACAAGGGCATTATTTATAAGAACAAAAATGGAAATTTTATAAATATTTAAAATTTAACTTCTTTCACTAAATATTTGTCTGTCTATAATGAAAGGGTGGTTCTGGATCAGTGCCAAATCATATGGGGACTAGTGTAACCTATCTTTTTTTTTCACATGCTATGCTGATGTTGTTTATTTTTTACCAGTATTATTAGAGTTCCCTGTTTACACAATTAACATACATAAATCAGGTATAATGTGTTGGACCAATAATAAACTTCCCCCCAAACAAGACAAAAAAAGTTAATAGTGCAATTTAACCTATTGTTGGCTCTCAGAGAATTTGCACCTTAGAATGAAGAAGAAATGGGATGCTTAGTACACAGTTTCCACAGTCAGATCTCATCTCCATGTGCTTCTCACAGTATGAGTAGCTTACTTTGCTTATGAGAATCTATCTAGTGTTTAAAAATACAAAATTATTTTTCAAAATTAACATTTTATAAAACAGCCCCAAATTCAAGCTATTTAATCGAGTAGTAGCAGTGGCAGAAGATATAACAACAGTGTAACCTATTTAGATGAAAGAAACAATTTCCTTAAAAAAAAAGAGAAAATATATGCTTATGCAAAAACTGGTATATGAATATTCATAGGGGTCTTATTCATAATAGCAAAAATGGAAACAACCCAAATGTCCACCAAATGATGGATGGGATTTTTAAAATGTGGTGCATCCACATGGTAGAATATTATTTAGCTATAAAAAGAAATTAAGTACTGACACATGCTACAACATGATGAACCCTGAAAATATTATGCTAAGTGTAAGACGCTAGTCACATGGGACCACATTCTTTATGATACCATTTCAGAATAGGCAAATCCAGAGAGACAGATTGCTAATGCATATGGGATTTCCTTTGGAGGTGATTAAATATTCCAGAATTAGGGCTTCCCTGGTGGCGCAGTGCTTGAGAGTCCGCCTGCCGATGCAGGAGACGCGGGTT